AGTAATGCAAATTCTAAAACATTCACAACATTCAGCGACATAGAGTCAACTCCAATGACTCCATGTGTCTTAGTTAGAAACAAACCGAATCACAGAAATTAGAGAGGTTTGGGGGCATTTTAGGATTTCTGTTATAAGAAACGATTTACTGCATTAGAATATTGATAAGCTTTCGAAGATTCGTGCACAGGTAGAGAATAGCAATTAAGCTAATCAAATCTGAATGCAACCAAGTAGAACAAATTAAAATGCATATCCCGGTGGTTATTTCAAATTTATAAAAAAACATGAAAAAAACTCTTTCTACCACAGAGAACTTGACAAAGCTTAGAAAAAGTAATGTATTGGTCAGCACATTCATCTCTTCCAATGATCCAGTGGAATGACCACCACTGTCGTTCCTGTGGACAGATCCCTTGAGATGAAAAAATAGACATACAGACGAAATACGAAAAGTACGACTGGTGCCCCGATTTCAGTACTATTGGTATAGACGCCACACTGAACTAGGGAAACGCAGCAGCGCTCAGATAACCATGGGCCCGTTACGGTCCGGTGTTGATCGAAAAACCGTACTCAAGTGAAATGACCAGATTATCGATATGCATGACAGTTCACCCTGAACGTTCCCGCCCAGCGAGAACCGGTTGATAGTTCTGGATACAACCGAATTCGAAATGATTACAAGCGAATCAGGCTTCAAAGTGAAAGAATGTCCATTACATATGGTTAACTGCTGATTAAGCTGTCAGACAAGACTGAAACGAGTTTTTTTTCCAGTTAGCAGAACAATAACGTATCTAGGTTCTAAGCTCACTAAACCTGTATGACAGCAGAGCCTGTTATTACTATCAGCCCGCCAGAACGTCCATTTCAATTTATTAAGGTGGAAAGACAACCAAAAGTGCCGAATGGTCCGACATATACACGGTTATGATGCAAAAGCAAGTATCCAAAAAACTACATTAGTGCGTCGGAGCTAGATGGTCAAATGAATTAAAATCCAACCTGAATGAACGAAAGTGGAAGTTCGAAGATATCGGAAGTCTGATCATGCTACTTGAGAGGATCAGCTACTACCGCATCTGGAAATTCGTTTCAATTACCCGTAGTCACCTCTCTTTTGAATAGAGGAAAATTCAGTTTCCTGGGAGCAGTGATAACGAATTTCAAGATAGTTTTTTTTTACTTGTACAATGCGCATCTAGCCCATCCATAGCCAACTGCTATCACTCGAACGAATGGATGACTATCTGATTGGCGGCGGACCAGATTCACGTACATCATGACGGTTTCTAAGGATACTTACGGCTCTCCGTTACAGAAATATCGCTGGCCAGGTGAAACCGCATCACCCCATTCCACATTGTGCGTGAACGCGGATTCAGTAAAGGGTGGTGATGGCGCAGTCGTTTATTTGCTGTCTTTGGCGTATTTTGGTTCCAGCCCAGTCACCAACACCCCACTTTGGTGGTAGATGGCTCTTACTGTCGTCCGGTTCAAAACCAGGCCTAATTTAGTGGTTTGTCACTTCAAGTATCGGGTCTTAGTTAACTGGTTTCCATCACTGAACAACAAATCTACGTGATTATGAGATCCGCCCAGTTTGCTACTCATGTCACAAATGTGTAAGAATAATAAAATAATGCTTACCACGGAAGTGGCCGTGCTCTTATCCGTGACTTGAAGATCCGTTCAGGGACCGACCGTACTGCTAGCAGTACTTCTGCGACATCCTACAATCGCCATCTTAAATGGAACTGCAGTCCGCAGCACAGAAACGAGGAAAAAATAGCTATCGGTCCTCAGAAGTGGACTAAACTCATACGCAATACAAACATTACGTCCACTGATTACCAATTCGATTCAAAATTTTATTGAGCAGTTGGGCAACCCATTAAATTCTCGTGAAAGAGCAGCCGATGACAGAGGAGGAATGCAAAGTCGAACGGAGCATTAGTTGGCCTAGAAATCGAATGTGCATAACTATGAGCCACTGGCAGGAAATAAACGTCGGTACCGCGGGAGATGATACTGTTTAAATTCCATACGAGTTCACAGGGTGTGCATATTGTTGTCGCACTATTCAGAACAATGGACCCTGGCTTTAACATAGCACGGAACTAAAATAAAATCATTTCAACGAGCAACTGTTGACCGTCAACTGCGCAGTTTGGGGATTAGAGTTCGGGCTCCCGACCCGAAGGTTTGCGGTTCGGGTCCATTCACATAACGTTGTTTGAACGACCACACCGGTGAACGAAAAAATGCAACTATCACTAGGTGATAACCGATGGAAAATTTTTAATGCTATAGGTGAACTGCGATGCGTACGGGAAACAAATCGAAGAGGACAATGTACGACTGCACTCTGCTCAAATCACGGCGAAGCAAGACTGGGCTTTTACTTCTTCCTTGTGATACATGAACCGCCACCAGGTTCTAACAGTGAGTAGATTAAAATCAAACAGTTACGAACCTGACAATCTTACGGTGAGTTAACAATTCAGCGCGAATCGGTTAACACTTTCCAAGTTGAACGGAAAGACGCTGCGGAATTAGCCAACCGTCCGTGCGATACAAAGGAGCAAGCTAATGCCATTATGAACACCCTCTAGACCAAACAAGATGGATAAAACAAGCACCGAGAAAGAAAAATATGATTTGAACAAGCAATTTGGCGATGGGAAGGCGACAAGAACGCTGTGGAGAACAAGAGCACTGAACCAAGAGTCGACGTGTGTGTGGGACAAAACAATGTGGTTTTGTGCATTCGACTGAAAAGTGGAGCAGTGGGGACGAACGAGTGGTTGTGGATGGNTGGATGGATGATGTGATTGTATTGCTAGATGTGAATAATTCTGTGTTAGCAAGGTCCATTCTGAGTCGGGGTGTCTGGTGGTGTCGGCCCGTTCAGAGTAGCACAATCGTCAGCTAAATCACCCATTATAGAACTAGGTCCAATCGAGACATCTTCCGTGGATGTGGCCGCATTCTTATGCGGTGTGGCCACAAACGATCGATAGAGCATATATCCATTGTCCGGCATTCGGGAGGGCAAGTTAACAGATCTGAGAGAACTGAATGACGGTGCATGATAGTACATTGGATTGCGTGCCATGAATCGATGATAGGGTGGTGCACCAAACACAGACTGAGACATTTGGAACGAAGCGTGACTAGAGGCTGGACTCAATCCCGTGTGGAAGGACTGGGCCATTCGGGTGGGCGTTACATCACCCATACCACTGTCGCTGGGGCTGAGTAAACGCATACTAGCTTCTGTCTGAGTTATGGGAGACGGCACAAATGCAGCCCCGTTTGGATGCACAACAGGCAATTCGAGAGGAGTGTAACCATTAGGATCCAGTTTGGCTGGATCAACCTGCGCAACTGGGAATAGGAACGGCCCGGGATACGGTGTGCCCAAAGAATATTTCGGCAGAGTACGTTTGGTCAATGGGACGTGACCGTTCGCTTGAGATAGGTCTGTTCCGCCATATTTGAAGCGGTGTCGGTAATGTCGAACACAGTAGATTGCAGTCCAGACAAGCAAAGTGGTGACCACCGCCAAAACAAGAAACACCAAAGCAAACACAATCCAAGGACTCAGGTTATTGTTACGTAGCCGAAGCAATCGTAAGTTTCGTCCATCACCCACATCAAATGTGTCCGAATCCACGTCATTCCAACTTTCTGAGGTTGTAGCAGTCAAAGTACTACTCGGCTGAATCAAGACCAATGTATCACCGGAACCGGAGGAGACAGCTGCAGTGCGATGCGATTGGTCTGTTACCCGATCATCGTCGAGGTTTTCGTTCACAGATAGTGTAGATGGAGGACACAGCTGTAGAGTTTGTGGACGAATACGAAATCTGTCTGGNCAGTGGGTGCTAAATGCAGCCATCTTTGAGGGAGACAGGGAAGCAGATTAGATTGAGTGAGCATCAGATTGGATAGGGAAGGGCATTTATCCCACGCAATCGGTGGTAACCCAGGAGGCGAATCCAATATCGACGAGGCCTGATTGGCAGACAATTCTTCCAAGTACAGTTGAGTCAGTTGTTCAGGGCAATCATGAGTGAGCCACCAAGATGTGGAGTTCTTCGATCCCATTGTAGTTATAGATGCAAGTAAAGGGTTACGAGACAAACGTAGTTGTCGCAAGTTGGGCATCACAATGAACAAACTAACATCAGCTAAAGGTAATCCTGGTAGAGTTAATCGATTCCCTTGGAGATTTAGGATAGTCAAATTGCGAAGTCCTTCAAATACACTAAGAGGCAGGTATGTGAGCATGTTTTCAGACAAATCGAGACTGATGAGATTGGGAACTCGGGCGAAACTTTGTGATCGTAAATGTGTGATACGATTACCGGCCAAATTCAATGTGAGCAACTGACTGATGGGGTTCAGTGCGAAGCCCCAACGAGCTAGATCCACAGTAACTAGCCCGTTACGACTGAGATCGAGCAACCGTAAACCAGGTGCATTCGCCAACCAACCAACACCGAGTGTTTCGCTGGTCAGTTGAGGATTTCGACGAATTTCCAGATCGATCAGACGTGCAGCTTGGAGTTGATCAACAAAACCAGGGTTAATTCGACGCAAATTAGTCTGTTGTACGGTGAGTCGTTCTAAACGGAGTGAGCCGTGATTCTGGAAGAAAAGACGGCGCAACTGAAAGGAATTCAGTTCTGAAAGACCATCATCAGCACTCGGGGCTCCAATTATCACAAGTCGTTTCAGTGTGTCTGTACAAGAAGATAGGGAAAATGCGGTCGTTGGAGTAACATCTGTGAATGAGGATGAAGATTGAGGGGATGGCCAAGAATTGGAAGTCAATTGGATTTGCAGCTGTTGCCACGTCTGCTGACACGAGGCATTTCGGGGCCATGCAATATCGGAGAGGGAAAAAGACATATCATCCGCACCACAACGTTGAGAAATCCGAGCATCAGGCCAAAAGTCATTAGGATTAACAATCTTATCTGAGGGCCACAGACAGCACACTGCAGCATCATTGTTGGAAGAACAGCGGCATCCGGACAAACAGTGACTAGAATCACTGAACGCACAGCTCAGTGCGATCAAATGAAAACACAGCACGAAAACTAGATTAATCCACATCACGATAGAGTGAAACATAAGCGATCTTGATCTATGACAATAAAATCACTGCATTTCATGCACATAGTAATCACCGACGCATTCCACTGAAAATTCAACAGTAGCGGTCTACTGCACACGTGCGCACAACACCATCTAAGAGAACGTGACGAGCCTTGCAGTCGGATGGTCTGAATGACGAGTGTGTTTGATTGGTCTAATCAATGGGCCAATTGGAATCAGAGGAAAGCAAGGACATTGATGCGAAAAAATTGACCAATAGGAAAAAGCCTGTGTGCAGAGGAGACAAACGACATGTGCCAGACAGTGCACCCTAAACCAATGACAAGTAGCTCGATATCATGACGGAACGCACTCAAAAACAAACTCGGTACGCTAAAATTTTGTACAATCGTGAACACAGTGATAATTTATTGGGTTTTCTGAGGAACTCTTGTCCTAACAAATTATGTGGGATTTGGAGGCTTTGCCAGAATCCATAAAAAACAGGAGTCCGGTTTAGTGAAGGAACTAAAGGTGAACAGTTGGAATAAATAAACAGTTAATGTTTAACCATATATATATATATATATATATATATATATATATATATATATATATATATAATTAAATAAAACACAACAATTAAAAAAACAGGCCAAGGTAGGAGACCAGAGTACAACTAGAGTAATAGTCACAAAATATTTTCGGAGGAAAGCTCATGTCCTCAGACTCCTTAAAAGAATGTCAACGACTAGAATCATCACCCATAAGAAACCTCCTTGAACACTAGAACATCGCATACATAAGTCATTGTATACCGCAGATAGTTCCCGACTGATGCAAAAGCATTCCCCGGGGTAAAGCATTAAGCCACCATCCGTGAGTCAAACGAAAGTCCTCTAAGTTTGAGAACAATCTTTCGCAGTTATAAACGTCAAGTGAAACTACTGTAAAACAGCTGATATGTTTCAACTATGCTACTGATGCATGTTGTTCGTAATGATACTACAGTCTAAAATGGGGAACAGGACGGGTGGGAATTACGTGTAAAACAATTATTGGGGGTAGCAGATCATACCGTTTCTGATTAACCTATGCATGTTTGCGTGCGATGTGCTGATAAGGAATATCTACAAAATAGAACAACCAATGGCAACAGCTTGTAAAAATGACATCATAAAAAACGTAGAAAACAGTAGCGTGTAGACCAGACCAATCGTTAAAATAATATAAACATGTTGCAGTACCTTGAACGACAACATATTCACAGGGTAACTATTTTGACTTGATTTGATACATTAATGAAAATGTGATGAGTGGACATTCAGTGCGTCTCTGATACAAACATTGCAGCATTCTAAAGAAGTCAATTTTCCCACAATAAGGAAGACAACATGCACGGCAGAGGGTTGGTCCACATAAACATAAAGACTACTGTACAATGGGGATAGTAGAACATTCACTCAAAACAGAGTAAGGAAGCGTGTCTCACATTTCCGTTGTTTTCAGAACGAACGATTTTAAGGTTTTTAGAATCACCTGAAGGAGGTGACTCAAAGTTGGTCACTGTAACAGTTGCGTAAATAAACGTGGGATAGGGATCAAAATTATAAGCTCCGAAAAACAAAATCTGATATAATAATAGTAAAAAAGAGAAAGGAAAGTGACCGTAAGGCGATAGACAGATAGCTGAATACCGGATGTTTAGGAAGGAACAGCGGAAAAAAGGATGGCTTTAGGTTGAACATAGCCCAAATGTGTTAAACAAGAAGAAGAGTTCACGCTCCGACGTCACTACCAGATCCTATTGTGGGTCTTGGCGGGAGTGAGAAGTTGAGAGAGGATATGAGAAGACCAATATATTGATTAAAAATTGAAGGCAAATAAAACTGTAGAGAACATGCAAATAAATGAATAAGTCGAAATGCAAATTGAAAGCAAGGAATTAGTCAAAAGTAATGCATTACTGTTCTGGTGCCTCTGCCACTGATTGACGTGACTATAAAGTGAAATGAAGAAAACACCACATCGAGTGCAAGGAAATCGCCCTAAAAGATCAATTGAAAAGCGGACACAACGTAAACTAAAAGCGCTTTATAACTGCTCGGAGGTGGTAAGGTATGAATGACCACCTCACAGACCGGAGGGAAATGCGTTTGAACCATGCCACCAACTCCCAACTCTATCGTTTACCTCTAGGTCCTGATAGACTCATTATTCCCAGCTTTATTCCCAAACTCTTAATGCTCGGTGGAACGGTAGTAGTAGTAG